TTTCGCTCGAGCCGCTTGTGGCCAGATGGATAGCCTAATTAGCATCGATAAGAAGACACGGGTGCTGACAGGGTCCTCCATCCATTTTCTCCTCTTCGTGGCGCCTGGGCCGGCCGATGCCAGTGTCCAAGAATTCCTCATTCCGCCTGTCCCCCAGACTCGACGGCCGTTTGTATGCTCCGCCATGCGCCTGACCACTCGCCTCCGAATGAGGGTTTGGCCGCGACTACGTAGCGGGGGGTCAACGATGCCGAACCCAGAGCCGCGGCACATTGCCAGAAAGAAAAAACATTCTGTGCGAACCTACAAGCATTGAAAAAGGAAGAAAAGAAAAGGATCAGGCAACACTACCTCGCCTGAAATTAACGCCTATACTATTTGTTTTTTCTTTTGCAAAATAAACATGCGAGAGATTTGAATTTCAGTAGCGTCTTAAACGCTCGAGGCTGATCGGAGCCTTGAACCACAATGCTCGGGTCAGCTAGTACGACCTTCGGCAGACATAGCGTGTAGGGGCCACAGCGTATAGACTTCGCAAGATTCGACCACGGCCCCTCGATTTGCGCCGTCGCGGGAGAGCGACGAAGCGAATCAAACGGCCGTGGTTAGACTCCCCTTCTCCGTGTCTCAGCGAAGATTCTTGTGACGTCGAACCGCCCCGCCATGGTGTGTGAGAGCTCTCCAACGCTTAGCGTCTTCTCGTACTAGAAATCTAGGAACTCGCCTTATACTACGGTACGGTTGATATCCGGCCTTCATTCGTGTGTATAATGTGTACAACGAAGCTGCGCCGAGCTACATCTGTAGCCTTTTTTTTTTTTTCCTGTGTGTGTCGACATAAACCGCGGGTTATACTTTACACATAACACGAAACATGGTGTGCCTTTATAGTTTTTTAACAATGTCTGGTGATCCTTCCAGTTTTCTGGAAAATAAAGCTTTGATTTGATTTGATTTTGGCGTTCAGTGCGTAGACGGGGTTTCGTGCGCAGGCTGAAAAGGGGTGCCACCCCACAGGGTGGCAGTTGTGAAGGTGTGCGACCCCACTTGAGCCGATGAGGAAGGACACGCGTAAGCGCTACAGCAACGCCAAACATGGCGACAAAGAAAGGACTTCTTTTTTCTTTTGTTCGTAACAGTTTACAGATATTTGACGAAGAATAAAGCAGAAAGCTTGTTTACGTTTCCTCGCATTGATTTAGCCGTGAGTCAACGGGCAACGAAATGCGGAATTCTCATTTATATCCGTCCAGCGAGAAACGCCTTCCGCGTGTCGGCGGGTTTCTTTCTTACTTGTTTCTTGTCTCGTTCGCCGAACGTGATGTAGCTCGAAGGTCTTCGCCGATCGCGCGCACAAGGGTCCCCGAGGCGGCGAGTGAAAGGCGTGCGACTTGCGTCATGACCCGAAGCCACACCGTGGCCCGAAACATGAGCTCGTCGCGTGAAGGCTCGGAGGGGCTTCAACGTCTTGACGTGTTCAGCAAAGCGCGGCACCTCGTTACAGCGCGCGCCTTCTCTGACGGGGTCAAGGCCTGGTGTGCACAAGTGGGCATGTGATGACACCGAGGAGGTAGCGCAAAGAAGCCAGGTACAAGCTCACGACGGAAGCTTCTCGCCAGCATTGACATGTTCGATGGGCCGTCTGGGATGTGTGACCGTCGCAATGGAAATCGATGCCTTCGAATCGAGCTGCGGAAATATTGCCTGGCAAGCGTTCAGAGAATCGTCAGGTCCCAGTTTCGGACTTGCACCACAAGTCCGAAATTTGTGGTACAAATAACCTGCCTGTGTTTTCGACTCGCAGACTTGTAAGGTACTCATTACAAGTAATTAATTTCATTTCATTTCATTGATTGTACCTTCAAAACCCGAAGGCATTACGGAGGGGTGAGAACAACAGGAGAGGGTTAAACCAACAATGAAATACAAATTTGGCACACTCAATGACGAGAAGGTTATAGCAATAGAAAACCATATGAGGCACTCTCGTCAATAAGATGATTGGTGATGGCACACTTGAAAAGCTCAGCGTCCGTGATGGCAGCTGTCGACCCGGGAAGGTGGTTCCGTTTCTGGGATGTTCGTGGAACGAAAGATTAATAAAACGTTGTCGCGACAGAACTTGGCTTGCCCACTTTATGCTGATGATAAAGACGAGAAGAAACATAAAATGATCGAGAGATTAGTGTGGCGCGCAGTATAGATTTATGGTAATTAACTTAATAAAACAAGGAAAGGCGAGACATTCTTTGCCATAGGGATAAAGGTGGCAATCAGAGAGTATTTTTTATGGAGGTGACGCTGGCGGTACCGTGGTAGCTACTTGGGAAAAAACGAATAGACCTGTTCTGAATTGCTTCTAATGTATATGTAAGAGTTGTTTGTCCGGGATCCCAGAGAGAAGCTGCAAATTCTAACTTTGGGCGAATTTTTAGTAAATAGTTATGTTAAGAGGCAACACAGGGGTTAATGAAAAATTACGTTTGAGGTAGCCTAACCTGCGGTCACAGCCCTAGAAGAAATATGCTGCATATGAGTTGTGCATGACAGGCTAAAAGTAATATGTACGCCTGAATATTTATATGATGATACTGGCTCTAATTGGGCATTACTTGGGAGGTATTCAGGATAGTCATGCGATTGGCGAGACGCCCGCATTGTCTCGCATATGTTAGCGTTAAGATTCATAGACCGTGCATTCCACCATTGGTAGACAGTGTTAACGTCTGATTGGAGTTTAGAAGCGTGATTATGGTCTCGAATTTCACGATAAATCACGCAGTCGTTGGCGAACATAACAGATAGATGAGGAGACATTAGTGGGAAGGTCGTTAATATATATTAAAAAGAGTAGGGGCCCTAAGACTGATGATCCTTGTGGAAGACCGGAAGCAACCGCGATAAAGGAGGAGTTGCTATGATTGACAACGACAAATTGTGACCTTTGAACATTCGATCCAGTGACGATTACTTGTAATCGATTACTTTCTTGAGTAATTTTGTAATCACTCGAATACATTTATTATGAAGTAATCCTAAGAGTAATTTGGTTATTTTTTGGAAGTACTACAATTCCTTGTAACCTTCACTATTTTCCCCAGACCTTTTTAATGGCGCCCTTTATTTTTACCTACCGAGGAATCATCGAACGTAATCTCCGACGTAAGGATGGTTTACCGAAATTGGTGGATTGAGAAGATGAGTAGTTTGTAATTCATTGGATACTAATCCAATAACAGGCAGTATAAATGAACCGTTTTGAAACCGGAAGAAAAATTTGTCGTTTTGAAAATCTGAAGTATGATGGAAAAAGTAACCGTTACTTTTTTTTTTCTCAAATAACGTCGAATTACTCTTGTTCTCAAGTGATCGAGTAATATAATTGACTCCTTTTTAACCAAGAGGATTTGTAATTGTAGTCGATTCCTTTTTTTTTTTTTTTCTAGAGTAACTAATACTGGTTTTAGGTGCCTAGGGTTTTATAATTCCAGCTATTGAATCCTTCAATAGCCTATCTATTTGATGGTTGCATTATAGGTGTCTGATTCAGCTGCTAGATTTTTTTTCTTCTGTTTCATTAGATGTATTTTCTGCCACTTATCTATTTTCTCACGTGGTCTCCGCAATACAGCAATAACGCTGGAGCTGCGGCAATCGTATTTCTTTTTGCGCTTTACGCTGGTAAAAGCGCGTTGACCCCGTATACGTGTGACGCCACTGCTCCAAACAAACCATTGCTATAGGGGTGTTGTTATGGACGGCTACATGGGACTGGCTTCGCCGCAATTCCATAGGAGCTAAGCCTTTTTTTTTCTTTACTTTTTCCTCGGGTAAGTTCGCTCTTTGCACATTTTACAAAAAAAAAAAAAAAGCACCATCTGTGGGCAACGCTGCACAAAGTCGAATTTTGCGGTCGATTTAAAAAGCCTGGCCACTCCTTGATACACCCAGTGGTTCCCATTCGGCATTCGAAGCACGGATCTCGTGGTGACTGGCGTTCGAATCTATTTGCAGACCATATTTTGTATGATGAATAAGCAGTGCGACCCCGGCTTAAAGGGGCGGTGCAACAATGTTCATTTGGAATGCTTTTCTTTTTTTTACTTTACAGGAGTTTATTGGCACTAGTGGGACCTTTAGTGGGACGCAAGTATACACACGCAAAGCCATTGACCAAGAAACCTCTTTGTTGCGGTGTAATTTCAAGAAGCATAGCGAGCGTTTTCTTTCAGTCTCTTCTTCACAAAACTTGATGATGTGGTGTGGGGGTCGCGGCGTCGGCATAGTCCCCCAGTGACAGTGCGGCTCATGAATTGAACCCGAGCATTGCGTGAGCACTCGAGTTGGGCTTAATCAAGCTCGACAAGCATTCGGGTAGTGGCTCGTGTCCAATCGCGGCAATGACGACAATAGCCGAACCCAAACAATGTCTGGAACCCAGCGCGTGTCCAGTGCTTTGCCAACCTCGGCGCATGGCTATGATCAAGACTGGCTTCATATAATCGTCTCCAGATCACGTGGCCGCTTGTTCTGGTTGCGAGATGAGAAGGTGAACGCTGCTCGTTTTTATTTATTTTTTTTACTTCTGCGACCTGTCGTGCCTGGGAAGAAATAGTAACGCGTGTTTTATTGGTCACAAACGTCAGGAATTTGTTCTAAGCGGTATTCGCGCAATGTACGAAAAAAACTGCTGCACCGGCCCTTTGAGGGATGTAGTCAGTGACCTTGTTGACTTTTATCTCACGGACAATTAAATAACCAGTCTCAAACACCTTATTGTCGCCCTAGAGCCAATCAGGTTAAGCCACGCCTTTCTTAAGTCGTCGATGAGTATTGTGCTCTCTTCCCTACCTTGGTAGATCGATGATTGGGCAGTACGGTCCCACTGGGTGACACAAGCCGACTGCTACATTTGGCGTGCCAAATGGCTAACATCGTACGAAGTGTGTCGACCGTCCTGACGACTGTCGAAGGTGACGTGAATTTTCTTCTTTGCGCAGCCCCCTCCAGGACGTCGCAAAAGACAACGTCGCGGATTTCCTGCCCAAAAAGAGCTTACGGAGAAGCGTGGCCAACGAGAGTCCAAGGTACGTTCTTCCACGCTCCGCTATCAGACGTCGTTCCGACACAACGACCAATCGCTTCGCTCGCTAACCGTAATCCTCTGGCTTTCTGGAAAAGCAAAAGAAAAAAAAAGGAAGAAAAAAAGAAAAGGAACCTGCTTGTTTAATTCCCAATGCGAGGAATGAGCTGCCAAACGAGAGAATCGGCGCGAAACAAGCACAAAATCGACTTGTACCCAGCGTCAATCATTCGCGGCCAGTCATTAGTGGTGACTGATTATCTCCGTCCCCGAGTTTCCGAGCGGCGGCCAGCCATCGGTTGCCGTCTAATCGGAGATTGTGTAAGTGACGGAAATTACCCCCGACCGATCGAGCATTGGAGTGGGCCCGCGTCAGGCGAAACTCGAGACGGTTTTGCGATCGCGGATCAGCTAATCAGAGGGTGTGTGTACGCGCCAATAACGGGAAGCGATGGTGCAGAGGGACACGGGCCGCGTGGAGACCTCGTGCGGCTCCCAACTGTTAAAATACTTAATTGGATAAGTCATCTCGATCGCCGCCAGACTTCCTCGAGCACGGCAAGAAGATGCTTTTGTCGTGCCACGCGGCCAATTGTTTCGAGATAGCCCCCCCAATCCTTTTTGGCACGCTGCGTTCGGAAGACTGGCGGTCTTCCCTCGGGGAGGCCCCATCTGGAGAACGCTCTCTTCTTAGGTTCCACCAGCCGGTGCCATTAAAGCATTGACGTAAATCAAACTCGTATATATCAGGCCGCACTCCGTGAGAATTCAATGAGTGCGTCCTCCTGCTCGGATACCCGCTTAGACGAGGCAAAATCTGCGCTCATAAATATGAATACGAGGTTCGCCTTCTCGTTGCACTGACGGTCCGCCGTTTAATGGCGCCCATTTTGGAAACGAGCACCGCGCTCTTTCTGTTTTTATTGGAATAGGTTCTCAAAGGATATTAGACAATGACTTCATTGGCACTCAGACGAACGCACACAGGTACCTGGTTCTGTAGGTCCCCGAGCCAGTAAACAGTAGACAAAATAATTTTTTTTTGTTCCTTTTTGGGATGTGCTACTTGCACGTGAAGACAATTCAATACTCATTGAAAGGTAACTTCGGGTAAAGAACAGTTCCTACGTAAACATATGTTGCTCAGCTGTTCAACAGGAAACGACCGGCCATACCCCCAATATATACGGTAATTCTTCCAAACATGCCGCGAATAGAGAGTTTTAGAATAGGACGCCCCCAAACTTTGGGTCCCCCGAGCAGCTTGGGGTACCCAAAGCGTTGGGACCCCGTATTCCAGCACTCTGTAATATTACAAAAATCAGTTACGCGGTATGTAGTTGTCGTAAAACGAGCAGCTGGCGAAATATTATGCAGATTGCGTGAATATTATACGCATATAAAAACTAGACTCACCGACTGCCCAAGGAACGCAGGCTTTTGCTGCGCTGGGTGTTTTTTTTTTTTCCCGAGCGCCGAAGGGGCGATGCCCCACCCGTCGAAAATAGCGGCCGTGTGTCGGTACTTTGTGGCGCTCTTTCATAATGTTACGCTTATCTCATAAAAACCGGCCCAATCATAATCATTAAAAACAAAAAATAAAAAGTTGTGTCGGAACACGTATTACTTATCTCAATGACGAAATTCGAGCAGTGGGATATCTTGAGTGATGACGCTGGCGGGATCTTGCGTCTCTGCTGCGATCGACTCAGCAGCTCCTCGATTCCCTATAGGCGGCGACTTTATGGACTGTCGGGCTGCGAGGTTTCCGCGTTGGGTAGCGGATTTCCCGACCTCGCGCGAAGTCGCAACCGAGCAGCCAGCCAAAGTGGCGCGAATCGACGTCGGAATGACCACGGTGCGACGACGTCGCGTTCGAGCCACGATCTAGCGTCCGCGGCTGCTCGAGCCGTGCCGGCAGAAGAGGGTCTCTCCCGTCCACCGCCGGCAGGGCTCGCCGACGTCGGTGAGTACGGGCGGCCGGACAGCCTCTGCCCAAGAGCAGCCATGGGAGGAAGCGGGTTCCCGATAGCGTATCGCTCGGATCGCGTGGCACTGGGCAGGACGGCCCATACATCTCGGCCGGAGCGGCGCTCCTGACGGGGCACCCCAGGCTGGCGGCGCGCTCCTTGTTAGCATAGCTGGGTCGAGCCAGACCTCCGTCCCTCGGGCACGGCTAATTGAAGGTTTGCCCGCAACCACGCTGCGCCGTCGCCGAGCAGCGCCAAAGCGCCCCTGCGCAACGCCCGCCCTTTACTCAGTACTAAAAAAAAAAAAGAACGAAGTGTGCGCGTCTATAACCTTACAACAGAGCGCCCGGTGGGTCAATCAGTACGATCTACGGAACTCATCCAGCGAATGACGAGGTCCGAAAGAATGTTTGCCCGGACACCCAGTTATCCGTTGAACGCGATATCACTAACAAGGAAGCACGAGGATTCCACTGCGCAGCTAAGAAGTGGCTCGAGATAGTGCTTCGATTTGTAAAATATCGTGGTGGAAAAGTTGGCCATCGTATTATAAAAAAAAGAAGAAAAAAAAAAACGCAATTACGCGGATGTCCTTTTTTTTTTTTTTTTTTTTTTGATAAATGCGCAGTCAGATTTGTGAGTCCGAACGAAAAAAGGCTACACCCTTAAAAAAGCCCGTGAGTCTGCTTTCCCGCGCAACACCTCGCAGAGCCAATCACCGCAACTTACGGAGGCAGCTCAGAGAATGGCAATTCTGAAACATACGTTTCGACCAAAAAAACGCAGTCTGAGTTGTGACATTCAGCAATGCAAGCATGACGTTTTGCATTGCTTAATGTCCCAACTCAGACTGCGTTTTTTGGTCTAAACGTTCCCTCGGCATTGTCATCCGCTGAGCTGCGTCCGTAAGTTGCGGTGATTGGCTCTCCGAGTGTTGTGCGGGAAAGTAGACGCACAAACATTTTGTAGAGTGTATATACTTTTCCTACGCGGGTTAACTTTCTCGAAGTTTGCGGGAAAGTTTTCCGCAAACGCGAGCATGACGTTTCACTCGCTCATTGTCCCTGCGTATTTTGGGCTTCGACATTTTCTGTGACCTTTTTTTTTGATCGCCGTGATTGGCTCTTCCTGTGCTCTGCAGGAAAGTGGACTCATGGCCGTATTTTAGAGTGTAATCGCCCGTCGCTCAAGAATCACCGCCCAAACCCATCGTGCCCTGATCGGGCGCTAAAAATGGCACGGACGGCGCCCGCGGAAGCCGGCCGTGGACGTGCGAACCGAGGGGTGCCGCGCAGAGCTCCCCGGAGATCGGCCGAGATGTTGCTCGCGGGTGCCGAAAGTCGAGCAGGAGAGCGCTTCGGCGTCGGGCATGTATCGATCGGGTGCTACATATAATAATATCGCATCACTCGTGTAATGAGGCCGCCGTGGTTTTGCTCTTAGTCGGCGAAATTAATGATGCCGAGCGAAGCGTGCCCGTTTAAACCAATCTTTGTCTTTCGCGGATAGCAGGAAGAAATAAATGGATAGAGATCGACGGTGACGAGCCGTGGTGCTCGTTCTTGCTTATTCACAACGCGCGGTCGCCACCAATCGCTTCAGTGTATGCGTTCAATGGATCTCTCCATCCATTGAACCAAATCAAAGGCAAAATAGGGCAGAATTATTATTCCGCCACAGAGAAAAGAGACCGTCGTTTTTGTTTTATGTCGGACGTTAAAGGGGCGATGCAACAATTTTTGTACATTGCGCAAATACCACTTAGAACGGATCCCTGACATTAATGACCTATGAAACACGCGTTCGTTTTTCACCCCATGCAATAGAAGTCCCAGAAAAAAAATGAAGAAAAACGAGCAGCGTTCACCCCCTCAACTCGCAGCCAGAACAAGCGGCCACGTGATCTGGAGCCGATTATATGCCGCCAATGTAGATCATAGCCACGCGCTGGGGTTGGCAAAGCACAGGGCACGCGCTGAGTTCCAGATATTGTTATGGCTCGGCTATTGTCGTCGTTGCAGCGATTGGACACGGGCCACTACCCGAATGCTTCTCGAGCTAGTAATTATCACGAGCCCAAATCGAGTGCCTACGCAATGCTCGGGTCCAATCAATGAACAGCATTCAAATATCGTCATATGGGTGTACTGCGATACCCACGTTACGTCATCAAAATTTGCAAAGGAGAGATTGAATGAAAATGGTCGCTTTTCTCCTCGAAATCACACCGCAACAAAGGAGTTTCTTGGCCAGTGGCGTTGCGTGCGAGTATCCTTGAGTCCCACTAGTGCCAGTAAGCTCGTGTAAAGCGAAAAACATTCCAACTGAATATCGTTGCATCGCTCCTTTAAAGTAATTTACCTGCACCCTCACCGCTTTGCTAACCCCACTGCACCTGGCAGCTTTTTCTTTCTTTTTTTTTTCTGACATTTGAAGGTGTGTTTAGTGAATGGATCTAGAAGCAACCGATAAATCATCAGTGCACGAGAACAGGGCTATTACATACTTCAAAGCGTGGAGCCCCTACAATTGCACCGCTCGCTAACATCCTCCTCGAACTCAACAAAAACTTGGGGGACGCTTAAGCTTCGCTTTTAAGAGTGGAATGGCATAGCGCTGTCGGGTCCCGTTCGCAAAGCCTTCTCTTATAAACGCGTGCTCGTTGCCAAGCCGTGCAAGCGTGTGTGCGTGGTCTAGTCGGTAGCGTCACGTGTCACCTGATGTCAAAGGTGACTTGACGTCATGACCCCATCAACCCGCTAAATTCGGAGGGAACATTTTCTCGCCAAATTTAGGGGGTAAATCTCACAATGCAACGCGCGCAGCCACGTGTGATGTCACACGTGGCCGCGCGCGTGGCACTATGGGAATTTTTGGTCCCACCGACGCCGAGGCCGGAGTTTCTGCGACAGGAGCTCCTAAACGCTATCGCGTTAAAATTTCTTTGGGTCAGAACAATATCAAGGAAATTGCTATCTAATAGTGAATACAATAAAAGGGGGTGCGTTCCGCGTCAACCGCAATCGTAGTTACC